GACTCTGCATGGTAGCCCACTTCATGCTATGGGGAACTGTTTATCGGACCCAGGCTCAAGGCTAGGAAAACACTATTCATCAGGCCCATTCAAGGTTATGGGAAAACTGCTTCCCTTAGTTACCCAGACACCTGGGTGAGGAAACCAGACTGCCTCCATTTACTCCACAACATACAATTCCTTATATAACCTAGTATTTATTACTTTAAACAAAAAATAAAAAGATATAAAGGATTTAAACAATATTATAAAATAAAACCTTTCACTTGGAGTTTATAAAACTGACCTTTTACCTAACTGCTAATAAAATTTCCATACATTTAAAAATTCAGACATTATTTAAGCCATATTCCCTTGACAATACAACTGGACCACAAATTACTAATAAAAGAATACCAAAAATCAACAAACACCAATACCAGGAAACAGGCAAGAAAACCCTTCACTCTTAGTAACTTTTGGATTAAAAAGGAAATGAAAACTGTAATGACAAACCATTTAGAAAGGACAGTGAGAGCATTACAAACTGAAGCCAGATGGGTAGACACACAGTATGGTACAAAAAAGAATACTCACACTTTAATGCCATTAGTTAGAAAACAAGTAAATAAAAAAAATTAACTAAGTAAGAAACTCAAGAAGCCAAAGACAGAATTTTGAATTGAACCCAGGGAAGACAGGAAAAAGAACTGATAAAAGCAGAAATTAAGAAAAAGTAAGTAAAAAATGGTAACAGGAGCAAAAAAAAAGAAAGGACATTGGTTCCTTGAAAAGAATCATCTAATAGGCAAAACTTTTCACAGACTGATCAGCAAAAAGACTCAAATAATCATTTAGAGCAATTAAGATCACAACTACAGAAACAGAGGATGCAAAAACTTATGAGGGAATATGTACAATTTCATAACTAACTTTAAAATTGAATCAAAGAGATAATTTTACTAGGAAATATATCTTTCTTAAATTGACCCAAGATAGATCAAACCCAGGAAAAACACTGCAAACTCTCAGATATATTCTTAGAAAGTTTAACCAAATTCCTACAATATGAGGTAAATATTTTCCATTTCAAAGATCAGAATATTCTGCCCTAACTGGTGTGGCTCAGTGGATTGAGTGCTGGCCTGCAAACCAAGAGGTCACAGGTACGGTTCCCAGACAGGGCACATGCCTGGGTTGTGGGCCAGGTCCCCAACAAAGGGCATGCAAGAGGCAACCACACATTGATGTTTTTCTCCCTTTCTTTCTCCCTCCCCTCCCACTCTCTAAAAATAAATAAAATCTTAAAAAAAAAAAAAAGAGATCAGAATATTCCTGAATACAAACAAGAATAAGATTAAACAAATAAACAAATCTAGCAGTAGCTACTCTCTTTTGTGAAATCTATGTGAAAAATTCCCAGATAAACTTTAAATCTCCTGGCTGGCGTAGCTCAGTGGATTGAGCATGGGCTCAGTGGACTAATATGAATAAATACAAATTTACAAAAGACTTATTTAGGCATAGTTTTGTATGTTCTTGCCAATAAAATTTTATATGATTCACTGATTTAGAAAATATTTTATGTACATTCATTATTTAAAAGTCTGATTCTTTAAAGGTTTTTCATTTGAGTAAACATACTTGTCTTCAGCTTTTTTAAAATTAGGAAACTAGCCCTGGCTGGTATAGCTCAGTGGATTGAGTGTAGCTCAGTGGATTGAGCATGGGCTGCGAACCAAAGCATCGCAGGTTCGATTCCCAGCCAGGGCACATGCCTGGGTTGCAGGCCATGGTCCCCAGCAACCACACATTGATGTTTCTCTCTCTCTTTCTCCTTCCCTTCCCTCTCTAAAAATAAATAAAATCTTTTTTAAAAAGTTAAATTAAAAAAAAAAACTTTAAATCTTGCAATGGGTTAAAATAGCTCATCATGACCAAGTAGAGTAGGTAGAATTTTTTTTTAAGGTTCAGCATTAGGGAACCCAATGGAATTTATAGATAAAAACTTTCTGACAAAGAAAACTCCAGGTCTAGGAGATTTCGCTAGCAAATTCAACCAAACATTTGCAGGAGAAATAATACTACCAACTCTTTTACAGAAAATCCAAAAGAAGGGAACACTCTCTAACTCATTTAGGAACTCAGCAACAACAAGATATCAAAACAAGACAAAGGTACTACAAAAGGAATACTACATACTATTATCCATTATAAACACAGATGCAAAATTAGAAAACTGGTTCCATCCATGTACAAAAAAAGATAATATATCAAAGTCAGTGGGGTTTATCCTGGGAATGCCAGGCCACAAATTTATTTCAAAATCAATGTAATTCACCACATGACAGACTAAATAAGAAAATCATAATCATTTCAATATGTGAAGAAAAAGCATTTGACAAAATTCAACCTCTATTCACTATAAAAAACTGTCAGCAAACTAAGATATATATGGCACTTCTTTCACGTACAGTTAACATAATACTTAATGGTGAGATTGATTTCTTTCCCCCAAAGATCAAGAACATGATCAGGATGTGCAAACTCGCCATTCTCATTAAACATTGTGCAGGAAATCCTAGCCTGTGTGTTAAGATAGGAATGAAAAAAGCATGAGATTGGAAAAGAGGACATAAAACTATATCTGCAAATGGCATTTCCTACATTAAAAATCCTATGGAATCTAAAAAAAAATTCCTAGAATAAATGAGTTGTGCAGATTTGCAGGATTTAAAAATCAACATATAAAAACCAACATTATTTTTATAATCTACCAATGAATAATTGGAATTTGAAAACTTTAAAAAGTGTAACTTATAATAAATATCACCCCCAAAATATTCCAGGATATACCCAACAAAGCATGTGTAGGATCTATATGCCAAAAACTACAAAAATGGTGAAAGAAATGAAAGCTGTTCATAAACTGTTAAGACTAAATATATTGTTCATTTTTTTAAAAGATTTTATTCACTTATTTTTAGAGAGAAGGGAAGGGAACGAGAAAGAGAGAGAAACATGGATGTTAAGTGAAACATCCATAAATTGCCGCTCTCATTCATGCTCACAACTGGGAACTGGCCTGCAACCCAGGCACGTGCCCTGACGAGGAGTTAAATTGAGAATCGAACAGGCCACCTTTTGGTTTGTGAGCAAGACTCAATATATTGTTAACAGTTCAGTTTTCTTCAAATTGCTATAGATTCAAGGAAATCAAAATCAAAATCCTGGCAGGAGTTTATGTAGATGCCAACAGTTGACTGGAAAATTTATATGAAAAAGGAAAGGAACTAAAAATAGGCAAAACAATTTTGAAAAAGATAAATTCGGAGGATTCACACTGCCTTATTTCAAGACCTCCCATAAAGCTACAGCAATTAATACAGTGTGGTATTGGTGAAAGCATAAACACTTAAGACAACGTAACAGAACTGAGTGCCAGAATAGACTCAAAGAACATGATCAACTGACTTTCACAAAGGTGCAAAAGCAATCAAAAAGAGAAAGGATTAATTATCTTTTCAACAAATGGTACTGGGAAAGATGGAAAAGGAGAATTTTAACATTTTAGATCTCTTGCTTCCCATTAAACACCAAGAAATATTTCAAACTAGAGAAATAACAATTTTCCCTTTTTAGAAAGATAAATCTAACGATAATGTTGCGGATGGACTGGTACAGAGACTGGTGGGAAGAATTCTAGTGAGAAGTGTAATAATAATCCCAGCAAGAGATGAGTTCTTGCAGATGAGGTGCCAGTGGGGATGGTAAAGATAATTTCAAAGACTTAATGATAGTAAGGATTGAGTTAATGGTGATGATTTTAACTAAAAATAAGATAAGTTATCTCAAAGAATCTATTTTTAAGACACATTTTAGAAGAGAAACTGCAAAAGGGTTGTCCTAGGAATGTAAGGGAATAACAGTAATTGCAAAGCACTCTGAATTGGGGTAGAGGAGTGTAAAATCTTACTAGGATTAGTCACATCCATAAATGTCTTTGTCATACTGATGTTCCATTATGCTACTTTCCCTGTATAACAAAACAGGAATTCTTTAGAGATATACTAGGAGATAGTTATGCTAATAGATCATTTGGGATATCATTGGTTTCCTGTCACTTTAGTAGTCAAGGGTACTCTCAAGTCAGGAAAGAAGCTAGGAGGTACACCACAAAACAAGGTTTAACTCTTGAAACACCACTCTAATTATACAAAAGAGCTAGGCAGAATACAGGCTCTAAAAAACAGGCAAACTTGAGTTCAGATTCCAACTCTGCCACTTACTAGCTGTACAGACCTGGGCAATTCATTTATCCCATTATATCATCTGTATATTGGAGGTAACAATACCTATCTCCCCACCATTGCTGCTAGTTACTGGCGCAGAGGTGGTAGCTATTTTGTTTTAAATATTTTTTTCTTTTAATATTCCTTAACATAGTAACATTTATACTTGTCAATTATTTACATAAAGCAATGCTTTGCAAATAATTCCTCTAAATGTTACCTTAACTACAGAGTAAAGTGAAACACATAACCAAAGATTTGAACATATAGTCTGGAACCAGAGGAAAATTTTTTATTAATGTGCATACCACATACAATATAACCATATTTAATAAAATGTTAATCTTGAGATAAAATTGGCATACCAAGAAAGTATGCCAGTTTATTCTACAATAGAGCCCTCACACAATGCCTCATATCCATAAGCCACTTCAAAATGTCTGTCTCAGATTAGACAAGTCTGAACAGCATACCATGTAAGTTAGGTTGCATGTGATAAAAAGCCAAGATAAAAACAGTACTCAACCTGAAACCCAAAACTTTCCTACAGGCAAGGAACATTTTAAAAATTAAGTCAATTCCCTAAGATAGCTACCTATGCATTTTTGTCCTGAAAATTAAATAATATTGAAGCAAACCTGCTTCAAATGAAGAAAGCTTAAAACCCAGTCTTATAGCCATAAAAATAATAGAAAGCCATAATTATGTATCTAAACTTTAAAACTTTACCTGGTTTCTTTTTTTTATCAGAAGTAGCATCCAAAGTAGTTAAGGTAGTAGAGGTGCTTTTATGAGTATCATGACTGGATACTCCAGGATCATCTTCATCAGAAGAAAACGAAGATAAATGCTCTAAGTTTTTAAGTTCCCTAACTTTTTCTGATGGACTGTTCGACCCAGTGTCAGACACTAACGGTGTGGGTGTTGGTATGGGTGTGGGTGTGGGTGTGGGTGTCGTAGAGGAAGTCTTTGGAAATGGTGGGGGACAAAATGTACGCACAATCTGGGTCCCGGGTCGTCTAGTCCTGTTAGGCATTCGAACAGCAAGAGTAGAAAACTGCTGCTTGGGCCCTGATTTCAGAAAATCTAAGAAAGAGGCAATAAATCCTGTTTTGACTTCTGGCTGTTTTTCCTCTACTTCTTTGATCTTCTGTCTCATTTTTTCCTGATGCTGATAAACATCATGGCAGCCTTCGGAGGGAGGAGTATATGGCAAATATGTATCTGTTCCCCTTGGGTTCTGGCGTTTCCCTTGGGCAGGTCTTTTCAGCTGTTTCTGATTACTGCTGTCTTCCTCTTTAGTTTGCCCTTTCCCTTTAGTTTTTTTCTTCTGAAGGTTAAAATGCATTAAATCTTGGTGTTCTTCTTCAATCTTGACACTGATTGCCTCACCAGGTTGGGCCATGGCCAACAGTGCAAGTGCACTCCTGGTTGGGTTCACTGACACACCACTGTCATCTCCCGCTAAGGTGAATTCGCTCTCCGATGTAGCACTTTCTCCGCTTATACTTCTACTACTAGAAACAAATTCTTGGTTTCTGTTATTATTTACTGAACTATCAATAGGAACTTCACAATCTTCTTCAGATTCATGATTGGTAGCAGACTGTTTCTTGAATGGGCCAGAACTTTGTTCATGGACCTCATGATTTGGTCCAGCCACTGGTGAAGTGAGTTTAGGTGCTTTATTTTGACCAGGTGTTTCAACATGCTGTTGATCAAGAGTCATTTTTGACTGAAGGGTAGGTACTGGTGAAAGATTTACCGTAACTTGACTTCCATTTAGGGCAATATCATTTAAATTCTGTGGCTTTCCTACTGTAGCTGTTAGAGAGTTAAAATCTGAACTCACATGCCCAACATCTAATGATTGCTGAAAATGAGATTTAGAATCACCATTTTCAACAGTCGGAATGGTTTCGTTTGACGTTGATTTGGAAAAATCAGAAGGTGTAACCCCACAAGCTGCAGCTGTAGCTGCCAAGATATCATCTACATTTGATAAAATATTTCTTTCATCAGTGAGCAGCATTGCCTCTGGGAAACATATTGATCCAAGGGAAACAAAATGATTCTTTGAATCATGTTGATTTGCTTCACTAAAGTGGTCCTTTGTTGTTAGATGTTGTTGTAAAGATTTTGAAGACTCAGAGAGATCCATTTTCATAATTTCAGAATTTTGAGCATGGAGTTGCTGCTGAGAATGATCACCATTGCTCTGAATAATAGAACCATCCATTTGAAGAAAAGGATGTACTATTTGTTGAGGACTTGGAACTCTCTGTGCATGTAGAGGTGCCTTCACTTGTCCTAAACCTGCCTGAAGTATTGATTGTTGAAGAATTTGTAAATCACAGGCAGAATCTAGAAGGATCTGTGTATTAGGAAGAGATGGCTGATGGCCATGCCCTAAAGCATGGTTTGGAATTTGAATCTGAGATGAGGCATTAATAATTTGATCATGCTGCTCCTGAACCTTGGCTTCATGAACTTTATGTATAAGAGGGTGCTGCTGGTTTAGGTCTTTAGTATTCAACCTTATTTGTGGAGTTTGCATTAATTCAGTTGCTTTTTTAATATCAATGGTTGCTGTATTATTGACTTGGCCAATTTGTTGGTTAAGTTGTGTCACTGAACCAACCATACTTTCTTCTTTTTTTGAACCTTGTAGAGCAAGCCCAACAACTTGGTCTTCAAGATGGGAATTACTTCTGATAACACTCTGAGGATATCTTTCATCTGCCTTTGACACCTTGTAAGCTGATTCTGGAACATTAATCTCCCCATCAGATAGCCTTTGGGTTGATGACTCAAGAGATACCTGTGGCTGTAACACCTGTAACTCTTGCATTGGAAAATCACCTTCTTGTTTTGAGGACGCATACACACTTGAGTCAAGTTTTCTTTCAGCGTAAGATTTTGGATCAGGGGAAGGTATGTTATTTTGTAATGTCTGACAATGAGTAGAGGATGTAAAAGATGATTGGATAGCAGGCAAAAACTTTTGGGACTGGGGAGATGATGATCCTTGAGCCTGAGCATTTTGGGAAGAATGCATAGAAATATAATTCTGGGTTGTGCTAGAATCTGGCAAACTCTGAGCTCGAGAGGCAGAAGAATAAGAAAGAGAAGGAGCTGTTAATGTTAGGGACTGCCCTGATGCATAGTTTTCTGAAGGACTAACAACTGACAAAACTTGTGATTGAGATGAATAATTAACCTGTGTCTGGCTAACTGGTGACAAACCCTGAGAATGACCAGATGAGTAGCTTTGAGACTGGCTAACTGAAGACAGATCTCTTGTTTGAGCAGGGTAATTCTCATTTGTAACTGAAGATAATACCTCTTGCTGATTAGAAGAATAATCAAGTGTCTGATTTTCAGAAGTTATAGTCTGAGACGAGCCAGAAAAAGTCAATGTTTTATATAAGGATGGCAACTTTTCAACTTTGCTGGACCTATAAACCTGTGAATGAACAATAGATGGCACATTATGTGGCTGTACTAAACCATAATTTTGGGACTGACTAACTGATAAAAGGCTTGGTAGTTGCGCTGTAGAATAAATTTGTGCTTGGCCTGATATTACAGAACTCTGGTTGTGTAAAGGTTTGGAATAGCTTAGTGTTTGCACAGGAGGAATTATACTTTGAGGTTTTGGGGTCTTAGTTGATGTGAGTGGTTGTTTTGTAGAACAGCTTTTTACTTTTGTAGTGGAAGGAGGATACCCTGATGATGGAATTGCAGATGAATAAGACTGAGCAAGTTCCACTGAGACCTGGGAGCTCTTCTGCTGCAATTCTCCATTGCTCACCTGAGTGGGCTCTCCTATTGGGCTACAAGATAAAGATGACTGCCTGCTTGTTTCCTGAAAATTAACTACACTTGAGTTTGATAGATAACTATGTAAGGAATGCTGTGAACCAGTCAGTTGTGCCTGAATAGACTGGGTACCTGAAGGCCGCTGATGGTGTTTAATAACACTACATTCTCGAAGAAGAGCTCTTTCAATGGAAGCAGTAGAATTAGTAAAGAGAGTTGAACTGTAGGCTTGAGGAGTTTGCTGGGTTCCCCCAAGTGCTGAAGGCAACAAACTGAACTGAGGTTGTAAAAGATGGGGTGCGGACTCTTGTGCAGAGCGATATGTTGAGGACTGAGGTGGTATGCTGTTACTTAATACAGAACTGCCCAGGCGCTCAAATGCCAAAGCAGTTGGAACAGTTCCCTGGGAAGTTTTGATTTGTAGCAAAGGGTCATGAGGATTTAAAATTCCATTTGATGTAGTGTTAAAAGTTGAATCCTGAAGCACCAAAGGTGAGGTGGTAGCAAAGTTCCTATTGCTGAAAGTGGTGGGATGCTGATAAGCAGAGAGGGCAGAAGGTGGAAGTGTTCCAGTGGTTGGCAAAGGTCCAGTAACAAACAGCTCAGTTGCTGCTGAGGAATGCATACCTATGAAGAGAAAACATGAAGATATTTATACAATTACAGCACAAATACTTATATATATACACACATATATATGTTTTCATAGTAGATACTTATATAACCTCATCCCACCAAAACTTCTGTAAGACTGAAAAATTCTACATGTAAATTCTGAAAATTACATTTCAAAATACATAGGTTTCTTAAAACAAAAACAAAGTTACAGCTATCAGCAACTCATATATATAATTGTTATATAAAAATTAGTTTATATATAGTTAGACAAGGTCAATTAAGAAACTAGCAAAAGTGTGCATCATCTCTAGTGATTAATTTACCTAATGCAAAACACCAATGGAGAAGCTAAAATATTCTTAACATTAAAATTGAAACTAAACTGCCTACATTTAACATGATCAATAAATCTCACAATAACAGGTCAGTGTTGCAAAGTTTTTTTAATCAAAATATATGCATTTAAAAAAAAACCTCTTGCATTTCAAGTGTTGACCTCCTATGAACAACTTCCAATAGCAATAGATGCATGTTTATCATAAAAGCTAATCAGAAATTAATAAAGTAATGTCAAGAAGAAATTGCTAACATTTCAGAATAGCATTCTAGCCATATAAAGCTAAAGTAAAAAAGTGTATACCTTATGATCCAAAAGTTTCACTTCTAGAAATATATCTTATGGAAATACCAGGGGAGCCAAAAAACCCCGGATTATATTCTGGAAGGCGAGCCCTTTGTAGTACAGGCTTTCCCCACTAGGTGAGTGTTCTAGGAACCCATCTGTATCAGTGTACCAGCTGGCATTGTTGTGAGAGGCCCCATTTGGCTCCAGTGAATTTTTTTTTTGAAGACTCAACACATTTGTACATTTCATAATGGGTGATTTACGAGCACACCTGCCCACACTGTGCTGAGCATTGAGCAGTTTTTGACCAAAAACAGCTTGACCCCCGTTGCCCCACCTTCTCCATTCACCTGATCTTACCCTGAGGGAGTTTTTGTTTCCCTAATGAAAAAAATCCTCAAAGGGAAACATTTTGCTGATGGGGAAGAGGTGAAACAAAAACAAAACAAAGAAACACTAAAAGGCATCCAAATCAATGTGTTCAAAAACTGTTTTGGGCAGTGGAAAAAAATGTCTCAATAGGTGTATTACATCAAATGGAGAGTACTTTGAAGATGACTGAAATTTAAACATATAAGAATAAATACACAATATTTTATACATAAATTCTGGGTTTTTTGAGGTGCCCCCTTATAAGGAGACACAAAGACATATGCAAAAGATATTCACTACAATTATTGTACATAAAGTAGAAATAACCTAAATGTCCATCAACAGGGGACTGATCAAATAATGATGGCATATCTTAATAATATTGTTGCTATGAACATTAATTAGGTGGATATATATTTTGATACACAAAGATATCAAAAGAGAGTAAATACCAAACGGTTAAACCTTCTCTAAAAAAGTGGGACTGTTGTTAGAAATCATCATTTTCCATTTTATACACCCTTGTATTGTTTACATGCTTTTCAATGAGCTTCCATTTAAAAAATTTTTTCACAGGAAAACAGATTCTCTAGCGCTTTCAAAAACATTCTTTTCTCACTTTTTTCCATTAAATGTCAAAAAAGTATTACTACTACAAGGAATGAAAATAACTAGTTACACTTAAAAGAATAAGTTATATTTATAATTAATGATTAAAATAATATAACCACAGGAACTAGAATAGAAAGTCTAACTGGATATGTGTAATATAAAATTATTCCAGGAAGCAAAATATGAAGCCACTGTGTTTTTTAATATCCTGTATATTTCACACTAAAACATTAATTATCTTCTTGGAAGTAGAAAAAAAATTGCTGAGGCATACTGAGAAGCTCTATGAATGTAATTTATATCAGAATAAAATATAATTTCTTATAGCTACCATTTACAAATATTTTCTCAAATATGCTATGACATTTCTTATTCTTTAAGTAAAACCTTAAAAACAAACCTTCCTGTCATCCTGAAAAAAATAAAAATACATACAAATAATTGTGGGTGAAAAAAAGTTGAAAAAATAAAATTAAAAAGTGCACATAAAGGGGCACAACACAGGATAGAGCAAAAGTAGGTTTACAGTTGTGATTATGTGAAACAGTGTATTCTTGTATTATTATTAATTACCATACTATTTTCCATGAACTGTAAACCTACTTTTGCCCCACTCTGTATAATATCGACTTGTTAAGACTTTTATTAAATAGTGATTCAATCTTTTCAATGAAGGATTAAGTTTACATAACTCAGTCCCATGATGGTTTTTGACCATACTGCCTACCTTGCCTGCAGTCACTAAAATAAGTGAAATTTAATCTTTTACTAAAAACAAAAACAAAACTCCAGCAAAGAAATATATAAAGTGATGGATGTGTAAATTAACTAGATGAGGGGGAAATCTTTCACAGTGTAAATGTATATTAAATCATCACAAGGTATACTTTAAATATCTTACAATTTTATAGTCAGTAAAGCTGAAATGGTGAAAAAATTAATCTTTACTCCTTTCAAGTATACAAGAACTACAACTGGCCCTTAACACAGGTTTGTATTGCATGGGTTCACTTACATGAGGCTTTTTTTTTTAAAGACTTTATTTATCTATTTTTAGAGAGAGAGGGATGGAGAGAGAAAGAGAAGGAGAGAAACATGGATACACAAGAGATACATTGATTGATTGCCTCTTGTACACCCCCAACTGGGGACCTGGCTCTCAACCCAAGCATGTGCCCTGACTGGGAATCAAACCAGCGATCTTTTGGTTCGCAGGCCAGCACTTAATCCACTGACCCACACCAGCCAGGGCTATAGAATTTTTAAAATAAATACTGTTAGTGTATTTTCTCTTCCTTAAGATTTTCCTTAACATTTTCTCCAGCTTACTCTAAGAATACAGTACATAATATATATAATATATAACATGTGTTAATCGATTATGTTATTGGTAGGGTTTCCAGTCAATAGTAGGCTATTAGTAGTTAAGTTTTAGGGGAGTCAAAAGTCACATGCAACACAGGGAATATAGTCAATATTGTAATAACTATGTATAATACCAGGTGAATACTAGTATTATCGAGGGGATCACTTCACAAATTATATAAATGTGTAACCACTATGCTGTACACCTGAGACTAATATAAAATAATACTGTCAACTGTAATTGAAAAAAAAAAAGTAAATTACATTTCCTTAAAAAAAAAAAAAGGCGTGATATGTGGATTTTCAACTGTGCAGGAAGTCAGCATGCCCCTGACACCCATGTCTTTTGAGAGTCAACTGTACTTAAATTGACAGATGAAAATTTTACTTCTAAGGTTTCTTTATAATTATCCACCCTCTTCAACTTGTTGGTTTTTTATCAGAGTGCTAAAACTGAATTTCTGCTGGTAACAATTTCTTGAATTTTGTCCATCTTTAAATTGTGAAAAGTTCCAGGTTTCAAAGTTCACTGGAAAATCAATAATTAACTACATTCTCAGTGATACTACCATAATGACAAGGCCATACAAAGTATATTTTTATAAGACTTAAAAATTCTGAAAACAAAGAGTCACCTGTCTGCCAGGATGGAGCCCTGAATTGTGGTAAAAGAGTAGTTCCTGAAGAAGCAGCCTGAGCTGTTCGAGATTCAACAGAAGAGAGAAAGTTCATTACTGAAGATTCCTTAGTGTTAGTGCTGGCACTGTTCACACCAGTATCAAATATTCCAGAAAGACCTACATTTGAAGACAAAATATATCCCAAAGTAAAAATATTGTTAATACAAAATTATATTCCTGATTGTTATTTTTTTAAATCTCTGAAATTTGAGGCCAAAAGTTCTAAACTATAACCCTCACCTGATTTATTTTGAAATAGCAAACAAATATTAATTTGACCAAGCACAGTTATAATTTAAAATCTACAAAGATGCATGAAAAATATCTTCCAACTAATTAATTATATAGATATTCCTTACCAATAAAAGACAAAGCTTTTAATCTCACTTTGATTTTAAAGTTTCCCATGGCACTGTTATGTCCTGACACACATTCATACCCCAACATGTGAAAACTGAGTTTTCTTCTTGTTCACTAAATGTACCCAGATTCATGTATTTCACATAGAGTTTTTACCGGTTGGCTGAGGTGTGGTAGAATATCCAGGAAGCTGATGAGAGGCTGCAAAAGTCTGTCTCTGAAGGAGATTTGTTTCAGAGATTGAGGGATGTCCTTCTTCATAGCTTAAACTAGAGGATAATAAAAATAAGTGACCAAAAACATATCACCCAAACCATAAGATCAAAACAGTTCTAGAAAAAAAATATTCTAGGAAAGCAATGATCAAAAGTACAAGTCTTTGACTAAAATCCTGACCTATAGACAAATAGATCAAACACAGTCTCACAACACGGTCAAAACAGGGAAAATATACTGAAGATATACTAGGAAGAAAAATAATAAATAGTATTTTCCTTATTTCAACTCTTACCACCTGGGACAGGTAAAACATGTTACAGTGGGAAAAGCAATATCCTGGAAAATAAAAGAGCTGAATTCATTATCCAAGCTCTATCACTGGTGTGTTTTCAATAACTGACTCAATTACTATCAGACTAATTTCCTCATCTGTTTGAATAACAGACAAGATCATCTCTAAGGCCCCTCTAATTGTAACATTCTGTGGAATAGAAGATAATTCAAATACTATTTCCCAAAAGCTCACCTAGAAAATTTCAAGCCTGTACATTTTGAGAGTCATTCAGAACAAGATGTTTTCTTCCCTTGATTTTTATTTTAAATATTTTAAACCCAGAAAAACTTACAATAGTACAAGGAATAACCCATACACCCGTCGTGTAACATTCAACAGTTAACATTTTGTTACATTTGTTTTATCTTTCTTTCTATACACACTTTTTTTTTAATCAAAACCAGTTGAAAATAACTTGGGGACATCATGATACTATATCCTTAATTCCTTCAATTGTATCTCCAAAGGATAGGAAATTCTCCTCATTAACCAATTAATTAGACTTGAAGAGCCTTAACAATGAGTCAACAATAGTACGTGCCCTAGCTTGGGTAGCTCAGTTGGTTAGAGTGTCATCCCAATACGCCAAGGTTGCTGGTCCAATCTCCCGTCAGGGCACACACAAGAAGCAACCAAATGCGTAATAGAAAGTAGAACAACAAATCAATGTCTGTCGGTCTCTCCCACCCCTTCCTCTGTCTCTCTAAAATCAATGTATTTTTTAAAAATTTAAATAACATTCAATACAGAGGTCATACTCCAATTCCCTTAATTATCATGGAATTTTTAAGTTTTTTCAGTGTAGGATCCAATCAAATCCAAGAATTGCATTTGGTTCTGTCTCTTTAAATTTAGAATAGTTGCTCTCAGATCCCACATCCCCTTTGTCTTGATTTCAAGACACAGACTTCTTGCATTATAGGCTATCCCAAATTCTGGGTTGGTCTGATCCCTGCATCATGATAAGTAGTGATGTTTTGAACTTCTTACTGCGTAACATGAGGATGCTCACAATGGCAGTTTGTCTCATTACGGGTGATACTAAACTGAATGGTACTGTCAGATCTCTCCATGTAATTTTTACCTACTTGGAAATTAATATGCAATTATGAGGTATTATTTTAACACTTGATCCCAACTTGTAAATACCTTGATCTCAACAGCCAATGATTTTAGATATCATCCACTCAAGATCTTTAATTCAGTCATTGCACTGGATATTGGAAATGGTAGGTTCCTAATTATATTATTATTTCAATATGTAAAAGCATTCTTCTATAAAATAAAAACGAGCCTTTTCCCCTCTTATGTATATATTATATACTGTACTTCTATATTTTAATGTTTTTTAGGGATGTGCATATATTATACACTTTAAAAAGATATATTACTGTAGACTCTTGATGTTCAATTTGCCCCCGATCCTGTCTTCTTTTGATCCTGTCTTCTTCTGATGTGTCCTTCTTGGTGCTCAAACACATTCTTCTAGCACAAGATGTTTCAGGCTCACCTTTGTATTTTCCCTGTACAAGACCTGAAATCAACCATTTCTACTAGCCCTTTTTCTGGGCAATGGCATTTAGAAAACAAGATCTAGGTGTAAGGTGTGTTCAGTGCCCAAGGTGTCATTCATTGTTTCTAGGCTCTTTTGGTGGATGAAGCTAGGAAAATAACTGTCTTTATAAATACTGGAGTTAATACTGACAACTCTAATTCAAATCCAATACAGTACTCCTCATCTTCCCTCATTTCAAGTGTGTATCTCCCTTTTCCTAAGGTTACACTCCTAGTTCATAACTACTTCAGTGTATTTACTCATTAGCTCTACTTGAGAGTACTGTAATGCAATCTCTACCTAAACAAATCTACTAAGTAAAGGTCAGTATTTCTTCACAGTGCTTTCTGTCCCAAGATTATCCCACTAAGTGTATACATTTAGAACACTAATTCAAAAGTAATATATAATTCTTTGCTATAGCTACCTTATTAATTAGATACAGGAATTAGATTTTGTTTCTGTTTGAAGATTCAATTTTAGGATTATTTTAAAATCTTTTTTAACTTTGAAGATAAATTTTATTAAGGTATAATTTTCAATAAAGTACACCCATTTCAGGTGTACTTAAATGTTCAGTGTGTACACATTTTTTGATAAATGTACACATCAGTATAATCACAATACCCACCAACTTGCAGAACATTTCCAACACAACAAAAGGTTTATCATGCCCTTTTGCAGTCAGCATCGTTTTCATCTCATCCCCAGAAAGCCACTAAGTCTAATGTCACTAAAATTTAAGCTTGTCTGGTCTAGAATTTCATATAAATGGAATTATAGTCTGTATTCTTACGTCTGGCTCTTTTCATATAGCATGTTTTTTGAGATAAATCTATGTTGTTGTATACATGAGTAGTTCATTTCTTTACAATGAGTATGAATATGTCACGTTTACCTAGTCACCTGGTGGACATTTCGGTTGTTTTCAGTTAGGGGCTACTATGAATTAACCTGTTGTGAACATTTGTATACAAGTCTTTTGTGAACATATGTTTTCATTTCCCTAAATTACATGTATGGGGTAAAATTACTAGATGAGAAAATAGGTGCATGTAGTATTTTACATTACCATCAACAATGAATGTTCCCTTTTTGCTTTATATCCTTGTGACCATTAGATCTTTTTCAGTTTTCTTAAATTTACCCATTCTAGGTAGGTATAGTGGTATCTCCTTGTGGTTTAATTTGCATTTCCCTAATAACAAATGATGAGAAGCACCTTTTTATATGTTTATAAACTATTCTTTTAGCTTCTCTTAGTGATGTTTGTTCAAATTATTTGCCCTTAAAGAAAAAAATGTGTGGCCCTGGCCTGGTTGCTCGGTGGGCTGGAGTGTCATCCAGTAGACCAAAAGGTCTCTGGTTTGATTCCCAGTTGAGGCATGTACAAGAAGGCAACCAAGCTATGTTTCTCTCACATATGTCTGTCTTTCTGTCTTTCTGTCTGTCTCTCTCCCTAAAAACAATGAAAAAGTGTCCTCGGGTGAGAATTAAAAAAGTTTTTTTTTCCTGGAAAAAAATGCCTCAAGACAGGGCCTATTTCTCACTCCCATATGTGAGCCACTGTAAAATCTCCTTTGAATAAATGTACATCTATTTAATATAGGACCATGATGACATAGCTCTCTACCTAGCCCCCAAGGCCTAGATGGGTGGTGGGGAGAGAGAGCAAAGATTTTTACTGTCCTCCTACATACTCCAAACATTACAGGAGCTACGGTCTAGAGAGGAGGAAGGAGCCAAAGGATGAGCCACAACAAATGCTTCAATCCTCTTCCGAGCCTAGCATAAAACTTTAATCTTCCATTCTCTCCCCATATACTGAAATCAGAGTATAGACTCAATCTTAATAAGAAGGGTCAGAATTTTGTATGGAGAAGTATCGTCCTTCAGGAGCTGTCACTTAAATTCTTTTTAAAAAACTGACCTTTTCCTGAAATAAAACAAACCAATAGAGATAATGATTCAGTTACTGCTCTTTACCTTTTTTATTCTAAGTCTGAACATTCTTTCCCTAAACTTTCCTAATTTTAATCTAATTTGTTTAACAAAGAAAATTAGGTTTTAAGGCAGATGAGAAAGCTGACACAAAAATCTCATTTACAATGGCAATTTTTGCATGAAAATGGTATATGAGCATAAGAAAAAATGTGCCCTGCCTGGTGTGGCTCAGTGGGCTGGGAATTGTACTGCAAATCAGAAGGTTGCCACTTTGATTCCTGGTCAGGGCACATGCCTGGGTTGTAGGTCAGGTCCCTAGTTACGGGACTCACAAGAGGCAACTGACTAATGTTTCTTTTGTACATCAATGTTTCTCACCCTTGCTTTCTCCCTCTCTTCCTCTCTCTCTAAAAATAAATAAAATCTTCTGCCCTGGCTGGTGTAGCTCAGTGGATTGAGTGCGGGCTGAAAGCCAAAGGTCCTCCAGTTCGATTCCCAGTCCAGGCACATGCCTGAGTTGTGGGCCAGGTCCCCAGTGGGGGTCACATGAGAGGCAACCACACATTGATGTTTCTCTCCCTCTCCTTCTCCCTCCCTTCCCTCTCTAAAAATAAACTTTAAAAAACCTTTAATAAATAAATAAATAAATAAATAAATAAAATCTTTAAAAAAGAAAATGCTTTTGAATATATTAAGAGTAAGTTATCTTATGGTTTATATTGAGATAGCAATAAGATTTACAAATTCTGCTCCTTGCATAACATACTTTTATATTCATAATAATTAAGAAATAAAACACATTCCAAGTTTAAAAATTAATTAGCAAAAGTTCCATGAAATATGTTAAATCTCAGCAAACAAGCCAGAACTTGCACACAAGTCATAAGTTATTTAAGCAATGAATGAATGATTTTGTCTTTAATTAGTAATATCACTCTTTTCTCTGTGTTAAAGAATTTGGCCACTGGAAAAAATATATTCTAATATAGTAACAGAATTATCTTTAGTCTTTGAAAATATTGTTTTATTCTTAAATATATCAACTCTTCATAGTTGAAAATGGTAAGAACCCTAGATTAGAAATCAGGAGGCCTAGATTCCAGTCCTGATTCTACAAATATGTTTCAAGACTTTCAGCAAAGTACGTATCTTGTAGAGTGTAAGTTTTCCTATTTATGAAATCTAATGTTTTTTGTATTTCTAATATTGAGTTAAGC